AAGATTTATTTATTTATGCATACAAGAACTGGGGTACAGGCCAGAGGTGCAGGGGTGAGAGGATTCCGCAGAGACAGAGCGGGGAACAGAACAGGCAGATCTACTGAAGTACACTGCTGAGGGGAGCAGCGGGCGAGACAGGAGAGGTCTGCTGCACCATGTGGGTAGCTCCCTGGCTGGGGATGGAACTTGTGCTGCAGTGGCTGCGGATAAATTCATAGTCTGAGACTTATCCCCTTGTACCAACAGGGAGGCCCCCTTTTTCTCTTTCAATGTTATACTGTGGACATCTTTCCAAGGTAGTCAGTGTTAAACTACATCCTCATCTATAATGGTATTTTATCATGAAACATATCAGAACTGTAACTGGCCCTCTGCAGATGGACATTGGGTATTTCTAGCGTGTTGCTGTCACCAACAGCAGTGCAATGACCCTTTCAGTGAAGACGTAGCAGATATAAATAAATACACACTCAGCATGAACTCCTGCAGGAAACGGGTACCGCCAGTAATGCAAGGAGCTGCCCATTTACCCTCATGCTCTTTAACACTGGAAGTCAACAACTTGGCTAATGGTTTTATTTTCTGAAACTAAAGTCAGATTTTAGTGGAGGCTGGGTGGGGAGGCATTCAGGGCTCCTCATACCTGGCAACTCAGCAAGAAGCTGAGACCAGGGCCTCTTTTACTGAGACTGGGACTGCGGCATAATAAACAATCTGCTAGCACAGGCATTTCCATCCTGCGGGTTCACCGCCGCTGAAGTGGAAGAAGAGGTACTGCCTCTGGGCTGAGGTTGCCGAGGCCTCTGGACCTGACTCCCAACCCTGCTCGAGGTGGCCACTTGGGCCTTGGCCTTCAGGGACCATGCAAGCCAGGCGCCTGGTGGTGAAGGGAGACAGAAAGGTGGTCCTGGCCTCAGCTGGGCGCTGCCTGGTCTCCTTGCCCTGCCGCTGCTGCTCTTTGTCTCTGGAGTGGCGTCCATTAGAAAGCCCGCCTGCTTGGGTCTAAGGGTTCTGCATGCCAGGGTCTGTGTTTGGGGTTGAAAAATATGTTGAGATCCTAACCTGCAGCTCCTCAGAATGTGACCTTACTTGGAATAGGGTTGTTGTGGATGTGACCAGTTCAGGAGAGGCCATGCTAGACCAGGCGGGCTCCCTAGTCAGTAGGACTGGTGTCCTTGGAGGAGGACTGTGTGAAGACACAGACGCAGAAAGAGGCCTTGGGAAGGTGGGGAGAGGCTGCATGATGGAGCTCCGAGCCAAGGAGCCCCGCAGATCCCCAGCAAACAGTCAGAAGCCAGGGAGAAGCGAGGGGGCTTTGCTCCTCCGATTCCAGAGGGAGCGTGGTCCTGACAACTTGATTGCAGACATCTCACCTCCGACCTTGAAGACACCGCGTTGCCCTTTAAGCCCCCTGCTCCACTCTGCTGTGTTACAGGACCCAGGAAGCGGATTGAGCCTGGGCGTGAGGGGGGCCCTGGGAGCCCCTCCACCCTGGCTCGCGGCTCCCTCCTTGTGCCTTGGCACAGCTGGCCCCTTCTATGTCCTCAGGCTCCTCTTCCAAAACCTGGAAGCAGGTTTGCCTCAGACCATCCCCTGGGAATGCGTCAGGGCTGTCGCTGGAAGGGAGGGATGGAGTCGGGAAGGGCCCGTTCGATTTTATAGGTGACAATACCAGGGTCAAGAAGCTCCGGTTCTCCTCGAGAGACAGTGTTTAGAACCTAGGAATGTCATTCCCTAATCTTTTATGGCTTCTTGTTGGGGAATCTGCTTCTGTCTGTTTTGCAACATCAGCATTTCCTGCCTGGGATAAGGGAATATGAGTCAGCTGGATTCTAATCCCTTCTTGAAGCTCCCCAGAATCTCTGTGCCTGGAGGCAGCCCTGACCACAGCGGCCGGTGGTCTCTGTCCTCTCAGGGGGCTCCCCAGTCTGCTCTGTGCAGCCCACAACTTGCCTGAGCACCCAGGAATTCCCACTGATCCCCAGGAGTAGGAGGGCACAGGGCAGTCCTTGCACAAGGTGCTGAAGCTGCTGCCAAAGATGGGGGAACAGCCTGTGCGGGCAAGGCTGTCCCCTGGGACCCGGGTGGTCCTGCTCCACCCTGTCCTCATCTCTTTCCTTGTCCAGATTGAGCACTAGCTGAAGGCAGACGGAGGATCTGAGGGGCACTGCAGCCCCTGGAGGTGTGCCACCTTGAGGGAAGATGGCGGGTGGGGTCCAAGCAAGTTCCCAAGGAAGAGATCCAGCCCTGGGACTCTCACGGGTCTCCCCATACTGAGCACACCAGACCCACAGGCTGGGGGTGGCGGAGGGGGTCTTGCTTCTGTTTTTAGAGAAGGGCAGGGGGCTGCCTCTGACTTCATCTCTGCTGCCTGAAAGCCCTGGGCTTGGCATTTCCAGAGGCCAGGAAGAACCAAGATGCGCTTCAGTGGTTTTGCCACGGTCTGTGATTACACCCTGATGGAGAGTCATGGCATTCAGATGTGCTTTTTATAAAATCCTGAAACACTCCTCTTGGATTCTGCTCTTCTCTGGCTCTGTCCAACTCAGCGTCAGACCTGTAAAAAAATCTTTCTGAGGTTTTGGTGCTGTTTTCAGGGTGTGTGTGTGTGTGTGTGTGTGTGTGTGTGTGTGTGTGTGAGAGCAGAAAGAGATGGGACTTGAGTGAATCAGAGGCACAGAGACCCCTGTGTTGACAGTGCAAGGGTCTGTGAGGGGAGGCCAAGTGGGTCCTCCTCTCCCTCTCTGAGTTGGTGGCAGCTCTCACTGGCTTAGAGTTGGGAGAACTTCAGTTCTTCCTCCTCTTCCTTGTTTTGTTGTAGAGCAGCCCCGATATTGAACGGGTTGCCTGGCTGTGGGTCCTCACCTGCGCGCTTACAAGGGACTTATGAATACTCCACTACAGACACACAAAAGGTTAATAAAAGGTTTATTTACAAGGGAAAAGGAAATAAGGAAAATGTACAACTCAGGGAGAAAATAGGGAAATAAAGTCTTTAATGCGTCTTACCCGATCCACCAACCTAGAAACCCAAAGGCACTCTCAGAGCTGGCCGGACACTGCTAGCTGGTGGAGAGCCAAAATGGGGGACCCCCCCCACCAAAGCCCACGTGTCTGCCTTTATACCAACCTGGCTGCTTAACCCCACCTTCAGGTTCCAGCCACCTTCCCTTTGGTGGTGATGGGATTTGGAGTTCCCAGTGTCTTTGGCTTTGGCCTGGGGTGGGGGTGGAGTCCACAAAGCCTGTATGGAATTAGCTTTAGGACATCCTTTTCCCCCTAACAGTTTCTTGGCATCCCTGGAACATTCTTCGTGGCTCAGAGCAAAGCCAGAGTAGCATAGGTGTGGCCCGACCAGCGCCCAGAACAATACCTAGCTCTGTGCAGGCTCTGGCCACAGCACTGCCTTATCAGAGCCCTGGCATTCTGGGCACCATGGGCCAGGGAGACTGGGCCTGCACACCCCTGTGCCCATCCCACGCTGGGAGTGAGGATGTCCTATGCCAGAAATGCACGTGGCATTTGCAGGCCTGGGGTGCATACGCAGAAGTGGCGTGGCCCTGTGTGTCTGCGTGAGAGGACAGGCTTCCATGGAGGGGCCGGGAAGGCCTGCGGAAGGGAGGCCTGAAGGAAGGGCCTTGTGGACCTCGCCCTCAGGCTCGAGGGGATGAGCAGCAGCTTCTATGTCCTTGCTGGTGGTGGGACTGTCCCAAGGTAGTTGGCAGCTTTGGAACATTGAGTCAGAGGCTGCAGGGTTCCTTGTGTCCCCCATTTGCTGGGGCATGCCCCTGCAGACAAATGTACAAGGAATGTGGCCCGGGTGCTCATCTGTGGGGTGTGAGGGAAGGGGGCAGCTAGCATGCTCCCCAAAAGAGTAGGATGAAGAGGAAACCCACCCACCCCCAAAACAGAGTGTGCTATGGCAGTTTTAAAGAGAGTCCAAACGTGCTGAATTTTTGAAGCTTGCTAGAAGGAAGAAAAAGAATGCCAGGACCCCTCATCAGTCCAAAGCGGTCCCCTCTCACCCAGATTATCCAAACATACCAGGCTACACTCAGGAGGCCTCCCTCCCACAGCCCTGCCTAGCCTTGGCCTCCTGCAAGACAAGATCCCTGGGCCAGCAGCCACCCCAGGGGGCCCTCTTGAAACCTCAGTTTTGCCTGCAGATTGATCCAACCAAACTCCCCTCACCCTCCAAATCTTGCTGCCTTCTGCCCCATCCAATTTCATCTCCCCTCTGCCAAGGAAGCTCCAGAGAAAGCCCCCGAGGTGGCAGGAGGCCCTAGCAGCCTCGGCCCTGCTCTGAGCTTTTGTGTCACTGGGCACCTACCTTTACCTTTCTGGCCTCAGCTTCCCCGGGCCTGAGCTGGTCCCCCAGCTTTTTAAGTCCTGCTTCCATGGAAGTGAACACTCTCTTTGAAACTTGCACCAGGGACGCTGTCCCGGGCAGTTTTGCTGGGTCAGAGCCAGCCCTCCTGCCAGGATGGGGCAGGGCAGAGGCAGGCCCCAGCCCTCCTGGGATGAGCCCTTTGTCTCCAGAAACACTTCCTGTTCAAGACCTCTTCTCCCGCCACGTGCACCAGGCCAGCCGCTATTACCACTTCAGTGCAGATTGGGAGAACTAGACCCAGAAAAGTTAAGTCCTTCCCCAAGGCTGGCTGGCCCCTAGTGCTTAGTGTGAACTAGTAGAAAGAGCCCCAGCTGGAGCCAGATCAATGGGCCTTGAGAAAGTCACAGAAGTCCCTAAGGCCCCAGTTGCCTGCCTGTAAAACGGCAATGGTAATGTTTGCAGGACACAGATAGCAGGCGCCAGCTGTTCACAGACGTGTTGCCTTTCACCATGGGTGGTGGTGCAGGTAGCCCCACTCTCGGTGCCCCCACCCTTGCTTCTGTCCTGCATGCTCTGCCCCGCTGGGGACAGAGAGTCTCCAGGTGTCTGGTTGGAAGTGGTCAGGATCCGGCCTGGTGCTAATCCCCCTGTGGTTCTTTCCCTCCAGACTGTAAATTCACCTGCCACCCGGAGTGCTGCCATCTGATCCAGCTGGACTGCAGTCAGCAGGGAGGCGTCTCCCGGGACAGACTTTCCCCAGAAAGCACCCTCACTTCACCCTCGGGCCAGGTAGGCAGCAGAGCTCGAGGGCCCGACAGGCTTGGCCTCTGCAGGGGCTGGGCTGCTCTCTCCCAGGAGTGCTGGTGGTCAGGAGGTGGGATGGGTACCTGTGAATGCTGGGGTCCTCTTGTGGACAGATGGGGTCCAGCTCCTGATTGTGTGAGTGGCTGTTTTCTCTCTGCCAGAGCACCTCTCTGACACCAGCCATAAGCCCCACATCTCCACTCCATTCTGACCCTGTGTGTACCCTCTCCTCCCGCCACTCAGATGTCAGTTCAAGTTCAGGTTGTCAGCTGTGCTCTGGACAGCTAGATCACAGTTCGGTGTGTTTGTTTGCTTTGGGTTTTTTGTTTGTTTGTTCTTAGGAGTAATGTGGCAGAAACAGGAATAAAGACCAAATACATGTTTCTCAATATAAATCGCCACATCACACTCCGCTTTCTATGGGACTGAGGTAATCCACAGACAACGACTCGAACTTGCGTGTAGCTACTCAGAAGCCCCCTGTAGCTCTTCCCTAGTGCAGAGCCTGCTTGAGGGGTCCAAACCAGAGGTGTGGGTATGGTGGGTTAGGGGTCCTGTGGAAAGCATCTGAAGGTCTCTGAGGCCTCAGAGTCCCAGGCAGTGCAGATGTGGAGCTGAGGTATCATAGCACACCATCCTGCCTGCCCATCAGTCAGGCCTGATCAACTTCAGAGGAGCTGAGCAAATGCTTTTTTCTTGTGTTAAAGGATCAGAAAATTGATGCCCAAAGTAGGTCATGGTTCTAGGTTTGCTGAAGACACTTGAGTGGGATGTGTCTGAACTTTGATGTCTAGGATTTGAAATATAAACAGAAGAGCATTTTTTGACTTTGATGTCTAGAATTTGAAATATAAACAGAAGAGCATTTTTTGATTCTTGCATTGAACAAAAGTTTATGAAGTATCCACTATGTGCTAAGCTCAGATTGAAAGTGGGGATAATAAATGATACTTCACAGTTCTTATCCTCAGAGGGCTTATATTCTGGAGGGGAAGACAGAATATAGTCAAATAGTATATACCGTGATGCATGATGCAAAAAAGCATGAATCAAAAGTTTTCAATACACAGCCAATTGTTTCTGTTAGGAGAAATCAGGGAAGACTTCCCAGAGGAGGTGACTTTGTTCTGAGCTTTAATGTATGAGTCAAAGTTTACTAGTCAAAAAACTAAGGAATGTTCCAGATCATCCATTTAGTCATTTAATAAATATGTTTTGAATGTTGACCATTCAACATTCAAATGCCAGGGACTTAGTGATGACGTAAACAGACGTGGCCCCTGCCCTCCCTGTGCTTGGAATAGAGTAGGGGAGCTAGACTTTAAACAAACAGACCCTGTAATTATGAGGATAAAGCTCAAGATGATGAAACAATACCGATGCTTAATTGAAGAGAAGTGGCCATAGCACACTTGATTAAGGACACTCAGTCACCTGAACTGCCCACAGGTGTTACCAGCCTCCCTGCCATCCCCCCTGCTTTTTATCCCCCTGGGAAAGCATCACTAGGAAGCAAATATAATGGCTGTTTTTTGAATAACAATATTAATGAATTATTTCTAAAATGTTTAAAAAATTGGCACATCCTCTTCACACTTCAGGACAGTGACTGCTATGTTACCTGAACATAACCTGGCCTCATGGGCAGAACTTGTCCCTAACTGGAACCCATCTATCCAGGTGAGGGGTTGGGGGAGCAGAGGAGACAATGTGACCCCCAAAGCCCTGGTGAAGGATGCAGAATTTTGCTGAAGGTGGAGAAGGGAGGTTTACAGAGCACACTGTACATCATTTCCAAAAAAAAAAAAAAAAAACCCAATGATTTCTTTTCCCATTTTTCTTTCCCATTTGGAAGTGCCCGAGTCTCTCTTCTTTCTGCTCCCCTTTACCCCCACCCTCCAATCCTACTTCCTGGACCTCCTCTTTGTGTCTCTGCTCCTTCCTCTGGAACAGACCTTCCCAGGACTCAGGAGGTGACTTGCCCCCTCCTCTCCAGGGAACAGTTTCTGGAGGTGCTTTTGACAGTCACAACTGGGGGTCACTACTAGCATCTTATTGGGTCTTGGCTACACTGCTTAACACCCTGCATTTTGCGGGCAAGATCCCACCCAAGGAATCCTGTGGCCAAATTAGGGTGGTGGAGAAGCCCTGCCCTAGGACAATCAAGCCAGCACTGAGCTTGGCAGGTAAAAGACCCCAGGCAAGGCCTTGTGTCTGCTGTGTACATTGTCTCACACTGAGCCTGTCAACAGAACAGGTGCTTCCAAGTCTGAGTATTTGGAAACAGTAACCCCCTTCCCTCTGTTGGGGAGAGGGCTCAGCCTTAGGACCTGGGGCAAGCCAAGCCAGGGCTGAGTCTAGAGCAGGGCCAGTGTGGAACACAGGGGCCTCAGAGAACCAGGGAAGGCGCCAGGAGTCCACTTGGGTGCAGAGCAGCCACAGCAGGCAGCGAGCCCGAGCGGGGTTTGCTCCGAGCTGCTGGCTGCTGTTTGCCTTGGACAGGCCAGGCACCGCTTGAGCACACTGGGCAGGACCCAGCCTTCTATCAATAAAACCTGGGCCCAGCTCCAAGCTTGCTCCCCTCTTCTAAAAAGATTGTTTGTTCTGATTTCCGCCTTGGCTTGATTTCTGTTAAATACCAGGATGGAGCTACCTTTCACCTTGACATTATCATCTGGGCTGAGCTAAGCCAATGTGCAAGGGCCCTTCTGGGGTCTTATTGTGGCAGGAACCTGGTCTGAGCACAGCTATTTCGGCCTCAGATGGCTATTAGGAGAGCTCGGCTCGGCAGCATTTCTCCTCATTGCTGTTAAATGAAAAGAAATTTATTGATTTTCCTCCACCCAGAGAGAACCACTGTACATTAACATTTTTATATCTCCTTCCTGTATGTTCATGCATTTTCAAAACATCGCTGAGATCATCCTTTAAGTGTTTGGCCTTAATCTTTGAAAAGCGGTAACCCCAAGGTTCTGGTTTGGAGCAGGAAGGGAGGTGCGGGTGGCTCAGAGCCCCATCAAGCAAAGAAACAGGCTGGCTGCCTGTGCCCTGGTCAACCACAGAGAGCAGATTCATGTGTGTTGGGAAAAACCCTAAGTACATGGGAGCTCTCTGACATCTTGGAGGTCTATGCCATCTAACTTTTCCCTCAGGCACCCCTAGTTGACTGAGTCACTCCCCTTGTTCAGGGTCAGCCTCTTTCCTAGAGAATATCTTCGCCATTGGCTGAGGACCACGAGCAGTTGCCCAAACAGCCCAAACACTTTTGTTACTTGGGAGCACGCCCCAAAGACTTACACTCCAGGTGTGGAAGAGGAGCAGTCACCATGTCACCCCTTTGATGAAAACCCTGAGGCTCTCCAGTGCCCCCAGGATGGAGTGAGACCTCTAGTGGTTTGGTTCACTCATTCTTGACCTTTGGGGAACCAGACCCCAAAAGGAAGTCTGCCCACACTGCTCATTCTCACCCTAAGGCACTGCAGCCCAGCGGCCCCTGCAGCTCTGCCCTCTGCCGTGGTGTCACATTTCATGGTGCAGATGACGAATAAAACCAAATGCGTTCTTCTGACCACTAAGTTACTTCCGGCTAGGGCTTGACTCTTCCTGTGTCCCACAGGCTTGGATTCCTTCCCCGCCTCTGGGTCTTCCAGAAGACAGGAACAGCATTCAGAAATCAGGCTCCCCGCCCCTGGTTGCAAAGTTGAGCCCCTCCCACAGCAGCTCCCAAACCTCACCCCATACTTTCCAGACATAGGATTCCAGTCATGTCCATGCTCTATCTCTGCCACTATTTACTTATATTTTTCTTAAAATAGATGTGTATTTATGTTAAACTTATGTTAAAGGAAAAGTTTTAAATCTTGAATCACTCTTTGATGTACTTATGATTTTTTCCTGACACGTTAATACTTAGTTTTTAAAATTAAAAGAAAAATATATGTCTAGGGCCTGCCTCAAACTTCTTCCACACATATTTATTGATCTAGGTACAGTTCTAAAACCTCTCAGAGGCCACCAGTGGGAAATGCTGCCCACAGAGCTGCGCTCTGGCTGTCTGGGGCCCACTGAGCACCTGAGGGGTGGTGGGAGATGGAGGGCCTCCCGGCTGCCTGTGCTGATACCAGGCCCTCTTCTGAAGGAGAGATGGCCCATCTGCACCAACAGGGAACAGCTCGAGGTGACAGCAAGTCGCCCAGCAGTGCACAGGGGACACTGCCATTGTGTGTGTGTAAGGGCAGAGCGAGGGTCTGCACCACACCCGGGCAACCCTTAGAAGGTGTTTCCTTGGAGGGGGCGAAGTCAAAAGGGCTAGAGCGAGAGCTGGAGTGAGACAACTCGCAGTTTTCCCTGTTTGTGTAAGTGCTGTTTGAATAACCAGTGCTTTCGTGGATTTCTACCTTAAATTTTTTTAAGACTTACTTTATTTACTTTGCATAGAAGAGCTGGGGTGCAGGCCAGAGGTGCAGGGGGTGAGAGAATTCACCAGAGACAGAGTGGGGAGCAGAACAGGCAAACTGACTGAAATACACTGCTGAGGGGAGCAGTGGGGAGACAGGAGAGGTCTGCTCCACCATGTGGGTTGCTCCTTGGCCAGCTGGGCATCGAACTCGAACTCGCAGTGGCTGGCAATAGCTTGATAGCACTGAGATTTAACCCCTGCACCACCAGGGAGTCCCCGCTACTGTAAGTTTTGTTAAAGGCTCTAGATATTTTCTTAAAGACTAAGCCCTGGCGGCAGAAGAGCCAGCTCTCATCCAGACTGTGTAAGCACCCAGGGCAAGCCTCCCCACTCTCCAGCCGCAGGTCTCTGCGCTGAGGTACAGGGGCGCAGTGTGCGGATGGCTGCAAGGCTCCTGTGAGGACACGCCTGGGAAGTGTGTGCCGACAAAGGGGCATCACCATCCCTCATCCCCCGACCCTGTCCCTGATGCCAGAGTTTTACTGCATTTGTATCAGGTCACCCCCATAACAAAAGTCCTCAGTGA